CAAAAGAGAACGCCAAGGAGTCACCTCTAGAAGCACTAGAAGCAATTAAAAGTTCAAAGGAAGAGCCGGGCATCTCGCCGGATTTTCGAAGCCGCCAACGATTTCAAGGTGAGGAATTGGCAGCCTGGCTCTTGGCTGACGCGGGGTCAGTCACGGCTGATGCATCCCGCACAAAACGTGCCTGTGGCACGGAGAGTTGGGAAGTACGGCTCCCTCCAGAGACCCGTCTCGCCAGGGCGGGGGCAGGCAGCCGCCCCGTGCCCCGGCCCGCAGCCCCGGCCCCGCCGCGGGGCCCCCGGGGGTCCGGCCGCCCCGGAAGGCCTCCGGCAGCGGCGGACCGCCTTTGCCTTACCCGTGGTGGAGAGGACGGTGCTGGCGAAGAAGAGGGAGGAGGTGAAGTCCCAGTTCCAGTTTCCCGAGGCGTTGCTGAGCACCGAGACGCCGTAGTTGCTGGCCTCCAGCACCCGCATCAGGAACTGCTCCAGCTGCTGCTCCGAGAGGCAGGCGTGCTCCTCCAGGAAGCGCTGCTTCAGCTTGCCCAGCTCCTGGCGCAGCAGGTCTTCGTAGGGCAGCTCCACCGAGGAGAAGACCACGGCGCCGAACACCAGGTAGAGCAGGTAGCCCAGCACCAGCAGCGCGAAGCACCAGGCGGAGCGGTGCTGCTCCACCAGCCGCACGCAGGAGCTGCCCGCCAGCGACTGCAGCATCTTGCCGAGCCGGGGCCGGCGGAGCCCCGGGCCGGGCCGCTGAGGGAAGCAGGGCAGGGCAGAGCAGGGCAGTGCGGCCGCCGGCTGACTCTGAGGCGCGGAGCGGCGCTGATGTGGCGCTCACGTGGAGGCGCGGCGCAGGTACCGCGGCGGAGGGAGGGACGCGGGGAGGAAGGGCCTCCCCCTCCTCCTGCTGCCGATGCTGCTCCCGCCGCCTCCTGTTGGGACGCCGGCTCTTTCTCTCCCTGCTGCTCCTCGTCTCCGAGTAACGCGTGGAATCCCCCGCAGGCGCTCCGAGAAGCCGACCCGAGAGCCTCCCCCCGCCCCGCGCTGCGGCGGACGCTTATTCATTCCCCTTTCCGCACAAATGTCTCTGGAGATTTCCTTGCCCCGCTGCTCCCCGGGCCCTGCCGTGAGGATCCCCCAAAACAGCAATTCCTTCCACTATTTTGTTGGCGGTATTATGCTTCACTTATTTATTCATTAATTCACGTTTTAACGCAGAATAAGGTGGCGCAGTGTGAAGCAGCAGGCTGAATTTCATTTAGTGCAGGATGTGATGAGTTCAAGGAGAAACCCAGATGTCAGGTGTTGAAGTCCTCCCTCAGGTCTGTAACTTCAAAATGGGACCTGCTTGGGGGTGCGGTTTGAACCAGGTGACCTCCAGCAGCTCCCCAAACAAGCTGAAGGAGTCTTTGCTCTTGTGAGACGCTTACTTTTTAACAGTGTGGAGTGCCTGGCTAGTGCTCAGAGCCACATCCACGGTGAATACAAATGCGCGGTGCAGCCGGCTCTCTGTGTAGCCCCAGCCAGAGATCTTCACAAGTTTCACTCTGAATGCTTCTTTCTTCATCCATCTTGAACTCCAAACCAGCAAACACACTGTAAACTTGCCAGTTGAGGCTCCCCACCAGATGAAAAGCAGCAGTAAAAATTACAGCTTCCCAAACTATCCCATAGGGTGAATAAAGACAGCTTCTAGTAAAGGAGGGAGAGAGGATTCCCTGGTCGCAAAGTTCTGCCACGGCCCTTCCATCTCTCATTGCTGATGGCAATTTATACAGACAAAAAGGAGTAACTTGCAAATTAGAAATTTACTAGGGCTGAGCCAGGGAGTTTGGACTGAGTAAATAAAATCCAGCAACCTATCTTAAGCTGTGAGGTACCACTCTTAAGCTTAAAGGACTACTGTGGGAAAAGAATAGAAAAATGAAAGGCAAAAAAATAATTCAGGCTAAAAACTTAAAATGATATGTCAACATTTCCTTTTATACAATAGCTATATGAAGCTATGGGATAAATCTGTCCTGACAGAACAGCTCATCCAGTTCCTGTCTATTCCCCACTGCCAGCCACAGCTGGGTCATTCCAGGGCCTTCAACACATCCCCCCACCCCCATGTTTCATTCAAATGTAAATGTACTCTTACATAGAAACTGCAGCTGCTTGAATGGTTGGTCAGTAGAGCACTGGGGAGATGTGGGAGGTACACAGGAGACAGGCTGAGCAGGCAGACTCTCGATGACGTTCTGGGAGAACACATGTGTGGTGTTCGTGATAGGTAGTGGTCATGTCTTTCCTATAAAACAGAATTTTCCCAACCTTCAAGCCAAATATTTGTTTAAAGGTTAGAAAATGTTTGCCTAAAGAACACACCTCTCTTCAGTGATAGGGTACAGTGGCTGGGTAAGCTGAATCAGCCTCCTTCAGCTTTCCATTTTTATGAATCAGTCACTCTCCATTTTTAGAAGCCTCTCACACTTGGAGGCTTGTTAGGCTGAAGAGAAAAGGAGGACTCTCTGCTGAACAGAGCATGCAATACTCTCTTTACTCAATTTTTATCTCCAAAGCTTTTTAGAGGCATGGGCTGAGGGGAACAATGGTAGAGTATCACAGCTGTGTCACCAAAGCATTCAGTTCTTGGTTTCAAAGCAAACATCTTTACAGTCTGAGTTTTAGCCACCATTATTGATATTCATATTTTAACTCAAAGCACTTAAAATAACTAGTAACTTAGTTATAGATTTCTTTGGGATAGGAAGGTGTCTTCATATTCAGTTTTGTGATTTTGAGTGATTGTATTTACCATGATAATATCACATGTGAATGCAGTTATGCATTCCAGCTTCATTCCACAGCATGCTATATTACATTTTCATGTTATGCTAGTCAAAGATTAGGCTAGTCAGGGATTCAGTGTACTGAATTCCGTGTTATGTCCCGTACAACAGGACGTCACAACATGCTTCAGCAGGGAGTGACTGAAATTGGGGAGCAGGCTGTTACAGAACAGCCTCTCCCCAGCAGAAGTTTCATTCTACAGTGATCATCCCTCTGAATAAAACTTTAATCCAGTTAATAAATTGTACAACATCATCACATTGCTTGTCTACCAGCAATGCTCTGTGGTGACTGGGCTCCTTACTGTTGGAGAAGTCCAGCTGCAAGCAGAGTGAAGAAACACACTATTGGTATTACTGGTGCTCTCCATTGCACAAAACTCTCTCAGAGCTACAGAAAATGCAAATACAAGCTGCCTGTCTACAAGGGCAGAAAAGAAGGCAGACATTCTAATCCGCCATAGAACTGAGACAGAAACCACGGTTATGTCCTGGGGTGCTAGAAAACCACAGAGAAAATTAATAGTCTCCAACTCTGCTACCTAGGGAGGTAGGACAACTCCCCTATCACATCACTGGGCTAGCAGCTTCTGTGGCACAGTGCAGAGGCTGAGAAAACCCTCTCTTGTACATAAGAAGTGTAAGGTCCTTTCAGAGCTGTATGAATCACTGACGTTTTCTAGTGGGAGAAGTGAAATTGAAGTAAAGAAGCTTTGTGTTAATGGCAGTCTGTTCTTCTCTGAGATTTTTGGTTAAGTAGAATAATCTTAAATTACGGCAGTATTTCCAATGAAATGCTGAAGGGCTTGAGACATCAAAAGATAAGGAGGTGGTGGCTAGAGGAAGAGGACAGCTTAGTTGCAGACAGTGACCAGAGAGGGGGATCACTGGACTCTAGTCTTTTGTCCAGTGACTGAAAATGACAATAGATAAAAATAGTAGCTTCAGTGAAAAGCAAGAATAGCTCACAGCAATGCTCCAGTGCCCAGAGCCTGGTCTGTGCTGGGCGGCATAGGCCAAAGAGGAGATTTGACATGGAGTCTCTACTGCTGTGATCGCTGAGTTCTATTCAGTGAGCAGGAATAAGTCTGGGGAAAGGGAAACACCCATGTTTGGCACCGTTACTTATATCAAGACTATAAAATACTTTCAACACTAAAAAGAAAACTGAAAAGTACTTATATGCACAGAAACTTCAAGTTGACTGAAAGGATGATTTATTTTCTCTTTTTTTTTCCCCCAAAAAGAGTATTTTTTTGGCCAGACCACAAAACTTTTTCCATCAGTCTTGGAAGAAAAAGCCCTTCCTCTCTTTATGTTGTAGAACCTTAAATCCCAGAAGCTGGGTAAATAAAATTAGTTACCAGGCAATACTTATCCTGCCAAACCTGTTCTGCTCTGGCATACCTACAGCATGACCTCACAGTACAGAGAGCAGAGGAGGTGGTGGTGAGGAACGGTGGGATGAACCAGGATAGTGTGGGAGGCACTAGGAACTTAGGTGGGGAAAACATGAGGCAGTATCAAAGCTGTGTTACCCTGACAGCTGAATATTGAATAGCAGCAGGGAACTGATTTGTCCTTCAGAACCTTTCTTCAAATTTGGCAGGGAGATAAATTCAGTGGTTTTGGCAAATTTGAAGTTTGATCACTCCTAAATTATGTATACATGAAGAAACATTGCCATAAATGTGAGATTCTCTGAATTCACTTCTATTAATTATTCTGCCCCTAGAATATTTTTTAAATGAAACTGATAAAAAGTAGAATCCTTCATGATTTGGTCTATCTGTTAAGTGAAGGCTGGAACATCATACATTTCCTTTTATGGAATAAAATTTTTCTGATCAATTGCTTCTAAATACTCAATTTGCAAGCTTTTGCAGAAGTTAGTGCAAGGTTTGCTAGTGGCTCTAATTGAAAGTCATGGCCTTGTGGGCAGGCAGGATGTGAATTTATAAGAATCACCTCCTCACTAACAAAAATGTACTTAAGTTGAAAAGCAGTCAGATGGGTTGCCATGTGTTCTGTTTCCAATGGGTAAGGTGTTCTGTTTGGTTAAATGGAATCATCTAGATTTGGGTCAAATAAAGTAAAACTTATAAAAGTTGAAACAACGGAGCCTGACTTTTCAGGGGAAAAAAAGTAATCTGTGAAGAGTGGATGCAGTCTCGTCTTAATTTGGCAGGAGGATGGAGAGGGTATAAGAGAGTGTTTAGATCTTTAATATTTATCAGCAGCTCTACTGGTGTCAGTAGATACAGTGCTATGGAAAAAAAAAAGAGTCAGCAAATTCTGTGTCCATGTTCATGCCATTTCCAACAAAACCTGCCTGGCTAAATTCTACTTGAGAGGGAAGGGAGGAGGCTTGAGATTTAGTGGTTTCCTCAAAAAAAAACCCTTTTTATGCTGTTTGCTTAATGGTGCAACGCTGCCCACAAAGGTTAAGACCACTGATGTGTGATAGCAAAGGAGTGGATGTGCCTAGTTTGGACCTATATTTAGGGGAAGGTTTGCATCATGAAGTAGTAGTGTTTAGAATCAAGGAAGTTTATATGCATGGTCAGGCACAATTTCTTTCTTGAGTGAGTCATCCTTGTTGAGCGTAAATATAATTTTCCTTAGAGTTGCAATAAGTATTCATATCTAACCAATGATCTTGCTGTCCAGGTTGAATAACTGATAGATAACTGTTTTATTAAGATAAGCACTTTATGTGGTGGAAAAAGTAATGTTGTGTATACTTGCCATCAGGTTTAGCAATGACATTATCCAGAAAGCAGCTTGGTTTCTCTAAGAGATGTCAGTTCAATGGGCATAAGGGCTGCATATAGGTACATAAATACACATGCCCATGTATATACATATATGGTCTTATATAATTATATATATAGCATGCTTCTTCAAAGTCCTCACTATTATATTCCAAGTTGTGCCATATCTTTGTAGAAAGGTTATTTGTGGGATTGTGTTAACACTAAAGAAATGTACTAGCTCA